AGGAGGAAAGAGAAGGGGGGATTATCAGTTTATACTGTTATTCTTACATCATAGGTTTAGTTATATTATTTAGCTACTCCGGTTTTTTTGGGTGCATAGCAAAGGCGAGTTTGAGAATACCATAATCTGTGCAAATTATTTGATAGTCCCACGAATCGCGGTATTCTTCAATATTGTGGTAATAAATTGAAATTATTCTCATTGCTTATATAATGCTAGAAAGTAGTATAAAGCCGCAAAAGAAGAAAGTTCTTTAAAAGTGTCAATGACATATAGTATATGTAGGTGAGTGTGTATCTTATGAGAATAACTATGCCTACATAAACATCTGCGAAAGGTTATCTATTTTAATTTTTCCACAGAAAAATACTTTTCTCAAAAACCTCCCGTGAGTTTTCTGTCGAGATATGACTTGTAAATAACACATTCAGTCAATCATACAATATGCGGTCGCCATTAGGAACCAGAATGTATCTGTCCTACTTTCAATGTGTCGTCATTTTTGAAATGGATTGAAGTTGTTGTATCACTCGTTTACTTTGATGAACTTCCGACTTTTGAGCTCCTTAATTGCAGAACGGATGCTCATGACTTCGTCTACCCTGGCTCACCTTTTAAGCGTTCGATGGCTATGGGAAGAATGGGCTTTAGGTGGGTTATAGAGCGTCACATAACTGGGAAGTTTTTGCCCTGATTGTTTAGCTATTTCTTCAGGCCGGGAAAAAGAAGTATGGCAATGGGGCGCCTTAACTTCCGCCCCGGGAAAAGGAGCGACGGTCTTTATTTCGAGAGGGAGCTTCGGTTACTATAATTTATTGAAAGAGACTATATTCTTCGACTTTCTACAATCATGTTAAAGAGAATATTTCAGTGCCAATAAGCGCAGTATTGCAATGGGTCGCGTAGATTTTAGACCTGGCAAACGGTCTGTTGCTTTGGGCAGATTTGGATTCAGGTGAAAACATTATGAGTTCGAATCTTTGAGTACTAATCAGTTCTTTCAGACCAGGAAAATAAAGCAAATTTCACGGTTGATTTCTACTTCAACATGGGCTTGAAATAACTCTCCTACATAGGTTTTCTCTCGACTGATACATCATTGTCGCCTCCGTTGCATGACTACGATCTCATTCATTTTTTTTCTTGGCAACGTTTTATGTCTTAAATTCTGAAATGTATTTTGACGTATGGCGCTGCGTAACTCAGAATAAATCGCTTGTTGCACTGTTATACAATTAGTTTTCCAGAAAAAAAACAATCTTTTAGACAAATTAAGACGAAAATAGGTGTTGAGTAAAAACTTGCCACTCTTGGGGCGGTGTCGTCTTCGCATAAGGTGTGCCTCCGTTGCGAGTCGGAAGTGCTTGTTGAGAGACTGGAATTTCGCCACGCGATATTTTCCAGTCCAGATGAGGCTAAATATAATTTTCCATTGATTGTCGTTCAAAAATTCTGATTTGAACTCCAAATCACATACCTAGACTATTGTATGACGCTGTACTTTGTGGTCGACTACGATTGACTGGTACTCTTGGTACGATGTTGCTTGGAGGAACAGCATGTCTCATTCTCGACTCCTCTTTTTGCGAACGAACCGTGTTTACCTGAAGATAGAAAGAACTCAGATTACAAAATACTTAGAAGGATTGACACACTGTTGCGGAAAGCTCGAGAATTTTACAAGCTCTTCGAAAAAGCATTGTTTGAACACTTTTGAAGTTTGACACACAGTACGAAATGGCTTAGCCTTCTCACTATTTGAAGCAATTTTAAGGAATGTGAAAAGAGAATTTTTCTTCTAGATGAGCAACTACATGACGAGGCAGGA